GTGTATTTATGTCAGACATGCAAGGAAGCATTTCAGTCAGGCAGAAGGAGGGCAGCTGGATGAGGTCCGGCAGGTGATGGGCATGCTGGCCTTCCCATCAGATACACACATCTCCCCCTATAAGGTAGCAGTCCTGTGCTTCATCACAGCATTACCAACTGATAAACACGGCAGCTTCCACAGAGGAGCAAAAATGGAAAGCTAATTACTGTAATACCAGTTTCCCGCCACCAGTGGGCGCCTGTTGTCTCTTAATAAGATTGAACTGCATTTTAAGGACTACAGATCAACTTTGATTTGCTCTGGTTTTAAATCAAATGAGCTTTTTATTATTTTGTAATCATGATAGGATCAATTAGATGCACTTTGTCAAACTAATTTTTATTGAATTAGTGAAAATAGTAAACAGTCGTCACAGCTTCCCTCAATGACCTGATAGGAGTTCAGTTTTGTTCAACAGTAAATTACAGATCAGTGTAAACACAGTTTATAATTTAGGAAATCTGTTTGTGAAAGTTCACAATTTAAAAAGGATGAACATTTTAATGATCTGTTTTTGTATGGAAGACCAAAAGGGCCAAAATTAGAAGAATAACATAGTTTAATCATCTTTAATTCAGCTTTTATTAAAGACACAGTGTCCACAGCAGAAATGAAAAAATAAATAGAGAAAGGGGAAAAAAATAAATGGTCAAATAAATATTAATAATATTTATTTTGATATTAGTTAAAATAAACATCAGTAAATGCAGAACCTGCGCTGTGGAGAGCACGTCTGATTTCTGGGAACTTCAGGGAAACTTCGCCTGTTTTCTGTTCCCATCAGGATCTTCTGGATCCGCTCGCTGGAAGATGCTGATCCAGCAGTTCAGATACGACAACTACAGACTCCACCAGCTGGGAAACAACTCTGTGTTCACCATCACCCTGCAGGCCGGGCTGTCCGCCATCAAGACTCCGTATCCTTCACTCCCACTTCCACACGAATCCACTCTGATCATCCGCTCACTCCACTGGTAACGGCTCGTTTCTCACTGAGCCCCAGAAACTTACTAAGACATGAAAACACATTCTTTAAAGCGTAGTTTGTGATGTTTATTTAGTAAATGCTTTATTATCTAAACCAGAACCAGTTTAATCCTGTTCACATCATGAAGATCCAGAGGATTTGGTTCACAGATTTCAAGGTTTTAGTTTTTTGTTGTTTTTTTTATGAGGTTTATGTGATTTCCTGGAAACGTTATTTATAAAATACTTTTGCTACGGGTGGAACTCAAAGTGCTTTACTGAGTCTAAAGACAGACTGAGATTATCAGAAGTTCAAACCAAGTCAACATTGTTAATAAAATGTTACTGGAATATAATACAAGTGAACAGCAATAAAACATGATAAAAAGCTATGAACTCATTATCAGATGCGTCTTTAGATGTTTTTAAAAGCATCTGAACTCTGACCTGCCCTCAGGAAGATGCCGACGCTTTGAAACCTTACTGAGGTTCAGTTTCAGTTTTTTTGTTCAGTTTCAGCAGCTGAACGACCCAAATCCGATCCGTTCCACTTCCACAGAGGAGCTAAATCATATCTGACACTTTCAAAGCGTCTGCAGTCTGAGCGGCCGTTTTATCTGAACTTTTAGCAGCTTCCTTCATCTTGAACGTTGAAATCCGTCCACAGACAGCGTCGGCCATCTTTACTGCTGTAAACAGCCGTTCCTGTCCTGGTTCCTTGTTCCTTAACTCCTCGTTTCAGTCAGTGCTACAAGGAGGACGGCTCGTCCAAAAACCCAGACTGCCCCGTTTGCAGCAAGTCTCTGAACAAGCTGGCGCAGCCGCTGCCCATGGCTCACTGCGCCAACTCCAGGCTGGTGTGCAAGATCTCTGGGGAGGTGATGAACGAGAACAACCCGCCCATGATGCTGCCCAACGGATACGTCTACGGTTACAACGTGAGTCCAGTCACAGAACCGGAGGGAAACGTTTGGGCAGCAAAACCTAGTTTGAGCCTCTGGAGTTTATAAATGTTAATAAAAAGGTTTCCAGAAGTCATCATCAATATCTTCAAAGCAAAAGCAGCGCAAACCAAAATGCTTTGCTGCACAAACGTAGCTGAGTTGATTAACATCAAATCTGTTGGTGTGGTTGACCTCTGACCTTTGGAAATGTTTTTTAATATCTTTAAAATGAGAAACAGGCCAGTCACAATAAATCAATTGTATAATAAATTAAAATGATCAACTCTTTGTATCAATCACTGGGTGATAAAGTCTTCATGCTGCTTCCTGTTTTTAGAGAACAATTGATTTTAGAGACTAAAGTCGTTTTATTTGTTGTTTCTGTTGCTTTGTGTATGTTTTGTGATGTTTAAAATGTCTTCCACATTAGTTAAATGCTAATCATAACTGAAAGGTTATTGATCTCTAAGAATGTGTCGTCCTGCTGTCCTCCAGTCCCTGCTGTCCATCCGCCAGGACGACAAAGTGGTCTGTCCCAGAACCAAAGAGGTGTTCAGCTTCTCTCAGGCAGAGAAGGTCTACATCATGTGATCACATCCTGCACCATGACGACTCTGGAGCTGTGACCCTTCACCCCAGTAGATGACCTCCTCTTCCTCACACACAGCTGGGCTCTTCTTCTTCTTTCAGACTGTTTAGATGTGACTAGGAGTTGTTTGACCGGATCCATTCAAGCACACGGACTATCAACATTTTCATTATCTTAAAGGCCTTTACTCTGAATATTAGAGCCTAGAGGAAAAAGGACTGAGTGAACCTGTTAGTTAGATGTTTGAATTTACTACAACAAATAAAAAAAGGACTTGTAAAGGATCGCTCTGAATTTTTCCTTTTTACTAACGTTTTTTTTTTATTTTTATTTTTATAAATGCGATTGGCTGCATTGCTGGTCTCCAGCTGTTCTTCCTTTTTTTATGATGGCTGACGAACTCGTTTTGACCGAAACCTTCTGGTTTGCCCCCAGCACATCCCATAATATCTCATCATTACCTTGCAATACTCCTCGGCTCAGAGGAGATGTTGTGTCAGGTGGTCCTTTATTCTGGGTCATCTGTTTTTGCTTTTTTTCTGATTGAATAAACTTTTTATTTAACGTATTTTCATTTTATTCCACCTTTCTGGCTTTATTATGATGGTTAAATTTTAAATCCTTTAGCTTCTGTTGGCACCAATAGCAGGAATGCTTCAGTTTAATGTTTTAATATTGTTCACATGTAACTCAGTAAGTAGGAGCTGATTCAATGCAGGTTTTATCCTCCCATCTGTTGATCGGCCCACATGAAATCATCCCATTTGTGTCTGTCGCTGATCTGGAAGTGTATTTGTGACGATGGTCTGTTCTGTGTGTTGGTAGAATTAGAAATGGGGAGTGTTTCATGAGCTGTGTGCCTCATAAAGATCTCAATGAAACTTTGATTTCAGTCTTTATTTGAAGCGTCTCGTCTTGTGGGAACGGGTCGCTACGGTTCTGTTGACATGAAAATCCACAAAAGTGCTCCGTCATTTCCCAGGAAACTCTTACCATATGTGGTAGTTTTGGGCCAGAAGATGAGAAACTGAAGGCAAATTTAAAGGAGTTCAAGGGGCAACATGATTGTCCATTTGCATTTACATTATATCAGCAGATTTCATGCGATTGACCCACAGAGGATAGCTTAGCAATTAGAAATAGAACAAAAATACATGGTTTCTTTAGTTTTTACATCAAATTATGAAAATTGTGGTGGTTATATACATTCAGCTGCTTTTCACTCTTCTGTTTTATTGGCTTTTCAGAAAACTAAAGATCTATAAAGAAATTAAGATATATTACCAATCTGATTAATATGACCAGATTTTATATACAGAAGAGTAAATTCAGTTGAACCATGCATTACTGCATTAAAAACAAATTCAAGCAGTGAATTAAATCTGTTCAAACTTTCAGAAAACACAAAAGCATCAGGTTTAATTTCTTTATGTTGTCTGTTAAACCTATTAAATAATCTTGTTCTGAATGGTTCTTGCTTTGCCAAGACGCTTATTTTTGAGGAGACCCGGGTCCTTCACGGTTTGTGGAAGTCGGATGTTGAGAATGTAATCGTCTCTGCCTTCATCTGCTGGGGTGGCAGGGTTAGAACCGAGGATTCAAACAGGCTCAAGCTGAAGGCTGGTTTTGGTTCTGGTTCTGGGACGACTCTGGCACCTGTGGAGATGGAAGAAGGTTTACAGACAACTCTGAGCTTCTTCACAAGATTTTCCTCAAGAGAGTCTCAAGTCAGAGGCTTCTTCAGATATGCTGTAATACAGACTGCTACTGGAGAGGAACTTGGATGATTAGTTGCAACATTTAATTTTTCTTTGGGATCAGTAAGTCACTTTTGAATTGAATTTATGCTGAATCAATTATTTATTTAGGGTTTCTATGCTTCCACATTACTTGACCACTGAAATCAAATCAAATTTTATTTGTATAGCACATTTCAGCAACAAGACATTTCAAAGTACTTTACATCCTAAACACAAAAACACAAAGTCATGCTTCATGGAATAAATAATACATTGTTACATATTACGTTTCAAATTCAATTCTAAACAGGTGAGTTTTTAGTTGAGATTTAAAGGAAGTCAGGGTTTCAGGTGTTTTAGAGTTTTCTGGAAGTTTGTTCCAAATTTTTGGAGCAAAAATTGCATTTTTGTTAAATTTTGTTTTGTACATTTAGTCTCCGACATTCATTTTCTGTAATGTTCTCTGTTCCAAATGAAGCTGCTTTGGAAAAAAAGATCATTAGTTAGAGCTGCTTTATTCTTTAGACGTTAAAAGGTCTGGTTGAAGAACGACATTAAAGATTGTGATAATTATATGCAACTCATGGTTAAAAGGATACAAATAATTTAATAGTTGTCAACATTGTACGTCTTTTCAAAATGTCCGTTGTCCCGCAAAGAAACCGGAAAAAGCGTTAAAAATGTGACGTCACTGTCATTCGTTTATAAAAAGGTCCGCTCTTCCTCCTCCGCCATCTTGAGATCAACGCGTCGTTGAATTCAAGCTGCTCCTGCTCGCCATTTTTACTCCTCTTTTGAAAATGAGTGACCAGCTCTGTAAGCTATTCGTCGGCGGCCTGAACGTGGACACCGACGACGATGGCCTCCGCAAGCACTTCGAGCAATACGGGGCCCTGACCGACTGCGTGGTCGTCGTGAACAAGCAGCTGCAGCGCTCCCGCTGTTTCGGCTTTGTTACCTACTCCACGCCGGAGGAGGCCGACGCCGCCATGGCTGCTAGGCCGCACACCGTTGACGGCAACTCGGTGGAGGTAAAGCGAGCAGTGGCCAGAGAAGACGCAAACAAGCCCGAAGCTTTGGCTAAAGTGAAGAAAATCTTCATCGGGGGGCTGAAAGACGACATCGAAGAGCAGCATTTGACCGACTACTTTTCGCAGTACGGCCAGGTGGAGAAATCTGAAGTCATCTCCGAGAAGGAGACTGGGAAGAAAAGGGGCTTCGGATTCGTGTACTTCACCGACCATGACTCGGCAGATAAGGCCGTGGTGGTGAAGTTTCACACCGTTAATGGACACAAAGTGGAGGTGAAGAAAGCCCTGACTAAACAAGAGATGCAGGCTGCGAGCAGGAACACAATGGCGCCTCGGGGCAGACCGGGCCGAGGCATGAGAGGAAATCAAAATGGCTACGGAGGCAGGGAATATGGCGGAAGCTACAACTACGGAAATGGCGGCGGTGGCGGCTACAACTGTGGCGGCTACGGAGGGTACGGTGGACCGTACGGAGGCGGTTATGGCGACCAGGGAAGCGGCTACGGTGGCGGCAACGGCTACAACGACTTTGGCAGCGGCTACGGCCAGCAGTCCTCTGGTTACGGTCCCATGAAGGGGCCGCCTTTCGGGGGCCAGCGGAGCGCGGCTCCCTACGCCAGAGGCGGCGGTGGCGGCGGATACCCCAGGGGGGGCTACGGCGGTGGCGGCTACTGAAAGGCGACACCCTGAAACACCCTCACCCTCTCCTCCCCGCCACTCGTTACTCCCAGGCATTTGGACGCAAAACTCAGTCACTAGTGGGGCGTCTGCCGTGAATCCCATCCATGGCAGAGCCGCAGAGACACCCCTCCCCCACCTGAACCCCCCAAACAGGTAGGAAGGTCACTTCCCTGAACACCTGCTTAACCCGAACAGCACTTCTTGCTGTTCTCCTAGGACACACAATTGAAGAATTACACGTTCAATGATCCCTTTTTTAATGTGCCCACACTACCAGTGTGAGGTTGTCTTTAGAGTTGGATTTTTTTTTTATATATATTTGCGTTCCTTCGTTGTGTTTGGAAAAAAATGATGTAGGATTATTTTCCTGATAAGTTCTTATTTTTTAATATTTGCATTTTAAGCAGTTTGATTCGATTTTGTTAAATTTAGAGAAAAGTTTAGTGTATTTTCTTTTCAATGTGAGGATGAGAATGTTTTTCTGGTTCATAGATGTCATTCTTACAATAAATTTTTGTATAATTTTCTGGGTCATCCAAGGAAATTCACTACTGCAGGACTCTAGTTTCCCTCCCCATATTGTACTTTAAATTCCTCTGAGCATATTGCTAGATTCAGTCTAAATACTGTTCATTTTTTCCTGTAGCAATATCTATTGTATATTGTGTACTTTCATGTGTTGAGAACAAAAACTTATTGTTGAAACATTTTGGTATGCTCATGTATGTTCATTTTAAATAAAACGTTATACCACTTAGCTTAGTTATCTTACTTATTTAACCAGGCTTCCAGTTTATCCACAGGTTTATGAGACCATCTTAGTTACATCCTTTACTCAGGTGGGTGAAATGGATGCAGTCTGCCCACAGCCAAAGCATGTAGGCTTTGTAGGGTGAGACCTTGTCTTAACTGTGGTTTTAAGATTTCACTTATTTACTTTCATCTTTACTACATGTGGACCTGAGGGCTCTGAATTATTTTTGATTATTCCTACATTTAGGTGTTCTTACTCGTATTCCTGTAGGCTATCCCAGCCAAAATAGCCGTAGCAGTTTGTTTGTAGGCTACGTCAGGACCCTGTTGATTACCTGGGGTCGATTGTGATAGGAGTCTGAAATATCTCTTTAGGATATCCACATCCAGCCAACTAGGTATGTAAATCAACCTGTCTTCACTCTGTGTTGGTCAAAAATGTATGGAATATATTTAAGATGGTGCACAAGTGTACCACTGTTTAATCTTACCAGATTACTGCGTCTTTTTATGTAGCTAAACATAAGTAAAACTGGGGAGTTAAGCAATAATTTTGTTTTTTGTGGGTGAAAGGAGACACGGGTTTGTTCCACTGAACGGTGGAACAACTAACTTGTCTCCTGGAATAATCCTGCGTTGCTCTGTTTCTCATTGCTGTGTTTTCCTCCATCTCCAGGTTGCCTCTGTAACCTGGCCTGTAGGGCTTCACCTGGAAGCTGACAGGGAACCGAGGAGGGCTCAACCTTCTTCCCCTTCAGGTGACATTACTGCAGAAAAATATTGACCACCTACGTTGGCTCCTTTTAGGCTGAATATTTATCACAAAGACACTAAATGGATGAAAAATGAATCTTTTAAGCAGGGTTTTGTGTAACTTACATGGGTGAGTTATTAAATAATGGTTAGCTTGAAATCGTAAAGCATTGTATGGGAGTGTTCTTGTGAAACCGTTCATTTAAATCTGAATACATAATTCATCCTAAAACTGTTCCTACAGTGGATCCAGCAGGGTGTCTGGATTTAGAAACCAAACTGTTTTACCGACTTGTATTCTCTTACTTGTAGGTTTTTTTGCTTGCCGGTTTCAGATCATCTGAGGATGAGGAGCTTCTGTATTGATGGCTGTACATATTTTTATGAATGCACAATAAATATTTATTTTGATATACCACAAGACTTGTTACTTTTCTATATCTTCTGGAGGTAAAGTGTCAGTTTTTAATGTGGAGTTCAGATAAATGTAGAATCCAAAGCTGGTCAGATCTAACACTGCACAAAATTTCCCTCTAAATATACATTAAATGTTACTAGATATTTACTTTTAATATAAAAGTCAATTTAATGTTTGATACAGTGAAGGAAAATTCAAAATGTAAATAAAATTCTGGTCAATCTGTCAAATGTTTCACTTCAGTTGTTGAGCAGTTGGGATGGAAATGCAGGACACCTTTAAAAATGTTCATAAATGGAGGGATGTGTTGACCTTTGCAGGTCATTTAGTGCTTAAGAAAACCTAATGTTTCACATTTTCCTGATTAAATCATTTCACAATGCAAAGCTTTTTAACTTTGATGGGATTATTCAATGCTGATGGACTCAAAAAAAGTGATTAGATTAAGAACTTCAACTTTCAAACCTTGCTTGGGTGATTAAAAAAGTAAAACTTCTACCAAACTTTAATGCATATGCTACTAATATTGGCACACTTATATATTTGAGTTCAGCACTTAATTGATCTAAACCCAGCTAAATGTGAAATGTATTTGGTTAATTTTGCAGTTATGTGAAATGAAATAACAGTCTGCATTATGCTGATTATTAAAGCTATAAGCCAGTAACCTGTAAAATCAGTCGTTTTACAGAAATGCAACTGATTTCTGCAGTGATTAGTTTGCATGTGAAGATGAATCTACAAAAACAGACTGGAAACAGGCGATAAGGCAGATTTTAACATCCATTTTCAAAACATTGAGCTTCATGCAGCTTTGCAGGAAACCAGAGCAACAAAACCAATGAATCTAATTGACAGGGATTATGATCGAAAACATGTTTTAGTCATCGTTGGCACAGAAAAACAAAACTTGGAATTTTTGTAGTCCATGTTTTTGTATTTTTTATTTCAAAAAGCTGTTTTTAAAACTTGTGCCATAAGAAATGTGCAAAACTTGCACAACATTCAGAGGAAAAGAAAAAAAACTATATAAATAAGTTAATGTTAACCGAAGTGGACGATGTAAGAGTACAAAAGGGCAATGTATCCATTTGCAGACTGATAGAGGTCAGCCAGTTATAATCTAATGTTCCTGCATTTTCACACCTTTTAGTCTACTTCATGTTGTCAGACAGGTTCTGTTTGACTGATTAAAATTATAAATTTACAACGAAGCATGAAATCAGATTCAATATCTCATTTCTGATTTAACTTTCAGTCATCAGTTGCTTAGTTTGCTAATTCCTTGGGCCGACTGGCGACTCCATTGTATAAAAATGTGAATATTACAGTTTGTGATTTAAGGGCGAGGATTAAATAAGGTCAAAAACTAGAAATGATCTGAACTGTAAACATTAACCTGAAATACACAAAAAGCTAAATTAGTCGTGTTTGATTTCCGGGGATTTGATGAAATCAGGTGTGGCTGCATTTCTATTGTTACATTTGTCTTTGCAAGTAACTCGGATTCCTCACGTCAAGGTCAGGGAAGGAAAAGGGTTAATGACGTGTAGTTTTTAAAATAGTTCAAATCTGTTTTATTGTTACGGCGTTAAAAAGGGGATAAAAGTACAAACGGCAACAAAGGTGAAGAATTTTTGGCTTAAATCTCAACAGAACAAGATTTTCAAAGCCGTGTGGGTGGTGAGTCTTTTTTTTTAAACTGAAGAGGGGCCAATCAGATTGCGCTACGTCACACGCCCCGCCCAGACCTTGTTCATTGAAGAAGGACAGGGAAAGTCTCCATTTCCCATCCTCCAGACGAAACCCAACATGACGGACAAATTGTGCAAGCTTTTTGTTGGAGGGCTGAACGTGGAGACCACCAGCGATGGCCTCCGTGCGTATTTCGAGCAGTACGGCTCTCTGACGGACTGTGTCGTGGTTATGAACCAGCAGCTCGGAAGGTCCCGCTGCTTCGGTTTCATCACCTACTCTGCGCCCGGGAGGCCGACGCTGCAATGGCGGCTAAGCCACATGTCGTCGAAGGCAACAACGTGGAGCTGAAGAGGGCCATAGCCCGAGAGGACGCCAACAACCCGGACATCCTCGCCAACGTCAAGAAAATCTTCGTCGGCGGAGTGAAGGACCACATCGAGGCGGAGAACCTGACCGAGTACTTCTCGCAGTTTGGCGCAGTGGAGAAGTCTGAGATCATCTCCGACAAGCAGACCGGCAGGAAGAGAGGCTTCGGCTTCGTCTACTTCACGGACACCGACTCGGCCACCAAAGCGGCGCTGACCAAATACCACACCATCAACGGGAACAAGGTGGAGGTGAAGAAAGCCCTCAGCAAGCAGGAGATCACCACCGGCGGCCGTGGAGGAAGAGGCCGGGGGAGAGGAATGCAGAACTTCGGCGGCGGGAGAGGAGGAGGATATGGAGGCGGTTATGGCGGCGGCTACGGCGGGGGTTACGGCGGGAATTACGGAAGTGGCTACGGCTACGGCGGCGGCTACAACAACGATAGCGGCTACGGCGGCTATGGCGGCTACAACGAGTACGACAGCCAGATGGGGGGAGGCTACAGCAACGGGGACTTCGGGGAGGGCTACGGACAGCAGCAGTCGAGCTACGGCGCGATGAAGGGGGGCAGCTACTCCTACCGGAGCGGGGCTCCGTACCGGGGCGGCGGGGAGGCGGCGCCGGCAGAGGCGGCGGCTTCGGAGGAGGTTATTAGGCCATTGGAAAGCCGAGATGTTCATGGGGACATTAGAAACGAACTTTACATTTACAGCACCGTCACAGGTGGGGGCAGCGCGCTCTTTGTCCGGTTAAAGCGAGCCCATCACCCACTCTGAATGAATGAAACCCGCCTCCTCCACTCGGATCCCATCTGGCCTTTTTGTTCCACTCATTCTGGACTCTAAACATACCGATTGTGAATATATTTTTGTTGTCGTGTATTGAACCATTTGTTAAAAAAAAGTGAGAACTGTGTAATTCCCTTGCTTCTCAAGTCAAAAAATTGAGTTTGTCTTGCAAAACCAGTGGGATGTGACTCCTTTCTTTTGCATCATAAACTCAGGGTTTTATGGAGCTGGTGTTGGCAGCATGAGGTTCTATTGAGCCTCCTGGATCTTAAAATGTGTTCCTATTGAACGTGTCACGGACTATTTTCACCTCAAATTACATCTTTTGCCGTCCGTTTCTGGCTTTTTTTTTTCTTTTTTTTAAGAATAAATACTGTTAAGTGTATGTGTTCATTTCATCCCTATGTTGTATTCTGCTTTTATTATTAAAAGTTTTTAATGACTTGAATCTATTTATGCTTTTAGTCTTTTTGCTTTCATATAATTGTGTTCCTAAAACTTCCACTAGGGGGCGATATATCCAGGTAGAAAATGGTCTTAATTTTAAATTTCTTCAGCCCATCTAAACTATAGAACATTTATACTGACATTTTAATTTTTAAGCCTTCGCTGTTTTGAAATGACCCCTAAGAATCTAAATATGGAGAATATTTAACTGTCAGGATTTAAACTATAATTAAAAAGCAGTAACAGGTTACAGTTAAAGGTGGTCTCCTGTAAATCAATTTGGAGACTTTTACTTCAAAATATTCAGCAAACTAGAGAGCTTTAAAAAAAAAAAAGTTGGAGAAAGTCCTAATTCCTGGCTTAGTTCCACTAAAATTGGACTGGTTCCAGTTCTAGAAATTAAATTTCCTGGTAAAACGGGTCTGCAGGCTTTTCCTGCCGACAAGTTTCATTTGGACTGAGCTGTTTATTTTGGAACAAGAGATGCAATATTACTCATGCTTTCCAGATACAGCAAAGAATATAATTTAAAAGTATTTTATTTAATTGAAATGTCAAGATCAAAGTTATTGTCTTTGGAAACAAGAACATTTTGATAATCTGATAGTCAGAAGGTTCTTCATGAACTGATTTTCAGGATGTCATGATCAGATTTTCTACTTGTTTTGTGGTCAATTGTTAATTATTTCAGATCAAATCTAACTTCCTAAAAAAAACATCACAAAAGCCATTTAATTCTCGCATTTTTTCTTTCCAGTTGCTCTGGAGTTTACACTGTAAATATTTACACCTGCATGGTTATGGTTGTCATTTCTGCAAACAATTTAGTTCATTTTATTGAGTAAAGAAGGAGCATTTACAATATTATGTGACTGACAATAAAAAGAGAAGATGGATGAAAATTTTTTCAGTGCACCCTTGGAAAATCAGAATGATGAAATCAAGCTAAGATTAATAGCGTAGCACACTTTAACAGTTCAAAACGCTTTACATGATGAAATATGAAACATCAGACAAACAAGAAATATTATGTTACAGTGGCATAATAAAGAAAGATAATGTAAATTTGGAAATCGGATGTAAATGAATTAAGTTCAAGTTAATTACCAGAGGAATAGAAACATTGGAAAACAGGAAATTCTGACTTTTAATCCAGAATTCTGATTATAATGTCAGAATTTTGACTTGAATCCAAAGTGGAGTTGTGCCACAGAAGGTCTTGGTTTCCAGATGAACATGTCGGTTCATTGATATTTTATGCAGCAGATTAAAGTCGGAGTTCTGACAATAATAATCCAAATTCTAAGAAATAAGTAAGAATGATTTTTTTCTTCAGTTTCTCTAATGCTCTTTCATAATTAATCAATAGTACAGTATAGTGTCTCGATGTAGAGATTCCCAGTGTTTCTTCATTTTTGCAGTTTTCTAGAAGAAACTTCCAGAATGAAGCTCCTTCCTGTTTGGCTGGGATTTCGGTCAGTAGTTTCTAGCTGTAATAGCTGGAGCTGTGCGCCGCTGACGGCTTCAAAGGGTTTTCCGTTAAAAACCGGAACCTTTACCACCAAACGGCGCGGCTTTATCACAAAGGCCTCGTTGTTTAGCTTTTTTGGCAGATTGAGTGACCCATCTCGCAAATATACGAGCTTTGAGTGAAAAGGCGCAGGGTGTCGTCGGAGTGGCTCCTCTCGCCGGTAGACGATCTGCGCCGGATGCTCTCATGCCTGCTGTGCTGTCTGACTCCGGGAGGATGGACGGTGTGTCGTTAGGGTGAGTTGGCTCATCGCGGGGGGATTATTTAGCAAAGCTGCGTTTCACGCTGCTTCTACATCTGTTGGAGAACATTTTAGTCCACATGACCCACATATCCAGCGCAGCCGGGCCCCACGGCTCGTGTTCAGGAAGGGATCTCCAGGCTAGCCGCGGCTAGCCTCGGTAGTTTGTTAGCATCGCTGACAGTTTGCAGTTACATTTCAACCAAAGTAACCTCACTGACATTTGGACTGCAAACAAACCTTCAACACAGCTGTCTGAATCCTGTAACCAGTTAAAATGAAGGGTTATGGCCAATGATAGCTGCTAAAGCCCGTCATGTTGAAGCGATGCTAGCCGCTAGCTAGCCTGTTACTGGACACATTTCAACGTTCTTACAGTTTTTTATTAATAACTTGCGTCTGCTGACCTGCTTCAGGGCAACAGAACTACAGTTAGCTGCAAAAACAACCATTACAACTGAAACATGTCAGAAAAATCCAGTATTATGTCCCAATGTTTCATGTTTTTTTTACAGTGAATGTTTGCTGTTATGATTCAAGTGTTAAAATGTTTGGCAAACTGAGGATAGATTTAGTCTGCAGGTCGCAGTTCAGACACACTAGATGCATTTATTACGTTCCTTTTGGATTCATTAAGTGTCATTTTTAAATTATTGTTGGCCTCTAATGTAACCTCTGGATTTTTCTCTAGTTGTATGAAAGTGATTATTTCTGGTGTTTGTTTTTCTGTCAATCAAATGTAAATGAATAAGTTTATAAAGCAGAGCATTTTACCATTAGAGTAACTTTAGCTATGATGCTAATTAGATCCTGAAGATGCGTAAGGATGTAATGCTGCTTTTTCATAATTACAATGTTTTAAATACATAAATGGTGAAAGATCCTTTCCTGTTCTGTCCTACAAGCTTTTACTGTTTCATCATAAAACATATTGCTTTAGGGTAGATCCTTATCAATGATCTATTTACCACGATTAAATGTCATTTTGTAATCTGCAAGGTTCTGCTGAGCATTGTGGGTCGGATCAGAACATCTGGAGAACCAGATACACAAGATCAGCTCGGAAATAAGGGAAATAGTTTTCAATAATTGGGATGCAAAGAAAATAAAACAATTCAGCTCTCAACTGACAAAACGTGAAAATCTCTTCTTAATGTAGATTAAAATCTGACTTTTTGTTGCTTCAGACATTTAATCAGTGAGCCATTCATTTCAGAAGATGATCCATGTGACTTAATATGTCAGGATTAGTCACAGTTTCATCTGTACAAACAATATAAATGCAATAAGTTACAGTGCAATGCAGACACAAAAACCCTTTTTAAAAAGGGAATCATAGTAATAATGTTAAATCAGACGTTGATTTGAAGGATAACGAGCCGTTTGTCTGGCCTGTGTGTCTCCGCTGATGCAGACACTGCCTCTCCTGTCTCACCAGTCTGGTGGCGGCGTCGGCCTCGCCGCGGCCGAACTGCGCCACGGATTCAGAGGACGACGTGGCGAACGAAGGGATTCACACCTTCAACCAGACACACATGAGGAAGGCCTTCCAGCTCATGAACGACCTGCGCAGGTGAGTCTGCAGCGACAGAAAAACCTGCTGCACTGTAAACTCTTCAGCTTCTTCAGACTAATGTTTTTCTAAAGGTTCATAGATTTTAAAAAATTTTTGTGCAGAATTTGCAGCAATATTGCTTAATGAAATGAACAGTTCCATCATTTTTCTTTTTTTCAGGCAAAGTTGTTTTTTTTTCCTTATTTGTTTTAAATATGAGAGTAAAGTTTGAATTTTATGAGAACTCAACTCCACACTGCGCTAAAATGAGAAATTCTGAGCATCTTATGAAATTAACATTGGTTTCACAAATAAAGAAATACTTCATAATTTGATTCTGATATCTTAAAACGTCATCAGCGGCAGAAATTTGAAACGCAGTGTTGTTTCAACAACCTTTATTTCCAAAATTCCTAATATTACAACTTTATTCTTATAGTTTTCAAAAATATATTGGTCTGATCTCACTTGATTTTTAACACTGTTGCCACCTAGTGTCTGGAGGCTTGTTTATCAGACAAGATAAAGACCTGCTGCATGCTACGTTAACGATGCTAAGCTAACTGTCCCATGCTGACGATGCTAAGCTAACTCTGCCGCAGTGACAACGCTACGCTAAATATGAAGAGCTAATTCTGCCGCAGTGACAATGCTATGCTAAATATGCTAAGCTAACTGCCACAGTGACGATGCTATGCTAAGCTAACTGTGCCATGCTGACAATGCTAAGCTAACATTGCCACAGTGACGATGCTACGCTAACGGTCGGCCTCCCTGTCAGTAAACAGATGCTGTGTGACGTCCAGCTGGTGGCGGGCAGCGTGGAAGTGCCGGCCCACCGGGTGGTCCTGGCAGCCTGCAGCCCGTACTTCTGTGCCATGTTCACAGGTACTGGTTCTGACCCGCTTGGGCCTGAGCGAGGCTGCTTCCAGGCGGTAAACTGTGTCTGTGTGCAGGAGATATGAGCGAGAGCAAAGCGCAGCAGGTGGAGATCAGAGAGGTCGATGGTCAGACGCTGAGGAAGCTTGTGGATTACATTTACACCGCAGAGATAGAGGTGACAGAGGACAACGTCCAGGTGAGTGGGAATAATCCAGATTACCACCACCTGCTTGGGTTTCAGATCTGGTTTTATTGAACTTTTATAAAAATCTATATTTTTTACTAATTTGCTCAAACCGTCTCCCAGAGCCAACTAGAAACAACCAATCACAGACTGAATCTATTTTTAAATAAATGGAAACAGAACCTATGAAACTCTTTACAATCCAAAACAAAAAAATGAAATTCATTTCTAATGAGACATGAATATCAGTCCTATTCATCAACTGTTTGTATTTATTTATTTTGATATCAGTGTTATTCATTGAGACATTTATTGTGTTAAACATTTTTTTCCATACAAACGTTCCGTCTGGAACCGTTTCTGGTACAACAGTAAATCTGATGCACAACATGGCGAAGTCGCTTCTCTTGGGTCATTTCTGCTTCCAGACTGATCCGATTGGATGCTGGACAAGCTAATGTTGTGGTCAAGCAGAACGGAGTTAGCCTACCAGAAGCTGTGCTAGCCTAAGTAGCATCTCAGTGCTAATCTTGTAGCAGCTCATGCTAATGTCAGGCCACATTTCTACAGAAGAATCCAATCTGGTTTTTGAAGAACCTGAATAAAAGATTAAAAACAATAATGTTGTTAAGCTCATATTCTGCTTATTCAGCAGTAAAAAAGATTTTTTACTGCTGAAGATCCTTATTATGTTGCTTATTTTCTTAATTAAAATGTCATTCACTACAAATCCTTAAACCTTAAAAATGTTAATCAAGTCTCACCATTAATATTAATCTAGTGTGAAGTAAATCCTCCAGTCAGAAATATTTGATGAGTTTTGTTCTGGGTGGGTTTGGTTCCTCGTCTCCTTCCGGGTCCAGAGTTCTGGACTCGTGTTTCTGTTTTCTTTAGTTTGTCCTTGTTTGCGGTCAGGAAGGCCTCAGAACTTCCTGCTGCTCCGATCTTTCCTTTGTCTGCCACGTTGTTTGGTTCTGGACTTTGGGTCCGGTCAGAGAACCAGCTGGTGTTAACGACTCCAACCACTTTTCTAAACTTTTTTCTAAACTAGCAGCTTTCTGGCAAATTTTCAATCCGTTTTATCCGCATTTTAAGTTTGTCTTTAAAAAGTGAAATGATGTATTTTTGTAAGTCCGGTGACGTCACACTGTGTGAGAGATTCTCATTCTGTTTGAATTTAGTAGAACTGACAATCTTTGACTATTTGTCAGTTAGATTCAAAACTCATTTCCATTTTCCGTTTTTGTTGTGATTTTCGCAGCATATTGCAGCCGCGTTTCCATGGCAACAGCAGTTACAACAAACAGCGGATTAGTTTTATTTTAAAAATGCTAAAGTTGATGTTCAATTGATTCTGAATCTCAGTACATGAGTGTCGTGATTCTTAAGCCAATAAATTTTCTGGCACATGTCTAATGTTAGCATATTTAGCATATTTACATTAGCTGTTAGCATGGCTAGCTGTTTCTCTACAACTTCAGCCGAAGTTGTAGAGAAGTTTTAAAATGCTCTGAAGTTTTAAAATGCTCAAAATGACAGTAAATCAGACAGATTAATGTCCCTGTAAATTAGCCTTCCTGTTATCTGCTGAAGGTCTCGCTCTCTTGCTGTTCAGAAGTTTTATTTTATTTCTCTTAAAACTGACTTGTTTTGTGATTGTAGGTGAAAACCTTATTTTGACGGATTTAGTGATCAGTTTTATGGTTTTCGTCAGAAATGGACTGGATGTGATTGAGGATTTAAGGAAAGTTAAAACCTAAAGTTAAAATGTCAAGTTGCTCCTGGACGGATCTGTGAGTCGAGAAGCAGAAACTGGTTGTTTACCTGCTGGTTTTAACTCCAGAGCTGCGCGGTTCTGCTCAAACCCGGTTTCCTCTGATTCTGAGCGCAGGAAGCACAGAGAGAGGAAATCCTCCCGCTCCGTCAGCAGGGAGCTGCTTCTGTGTTTCTGGCCTTAATGTTTCTTTGGATCACCCAGTCGCTGCTACAGTCTGAAAATATTTAGAATTTTAATTTAGGATTCTTTGCCTTAAAGGTTCACATTCAGCCGTGAAGAGATTAAAATTGGGACATTTTCAGGATTAGATCCGGTCCATCTGTCTTTCTGTGTTTTTGTTTTTTGCTTCTTTCCTTACTATTTTCTTTCTTTCTTCTTTTTCTTCTTTTTTTGCTTCTTTTTTTCTGTTTTTTAGTTTATTTCTCAAACTCATCCAGAATTACACATAATGAGTTTGTGTTTCTGAGTGGATGATAAAATGTTCATTAATGTCCTTTAATGAGATCAAATCAACAGAACCTGATTAGATGAAAACATTTTCTATTTTACGTGAATAAAATGCATGTGAAGAGTCTTTGGGGATTTTCACAGATCTTGATTTAACGGTTTTCTGGTTTGTTTGGAGAAGAGAATGAACTGAGTTTGATTTCTCGTCTTGTCTCAGAGGCTCGTCTGTCTGGAAAGCTCAATTTTCTGGTATTTCATTCTGAGTTTAATAATATGATGACCGTGTTATGTCTTTAAGTGTTGGGTTCATTTGGTGAGAGTTTGTTTTCTGGGCTGCAAACTCAAGGTTAGATGCTGTTTGCTGCACTGTCTCTCCAGTGTTTCTGTATCTTTGGTGTAAACCTGTGATGTTGTCTGCCTGCTGCTTTCATCTGACCGTTCATTAGGTTTCGATCTCGTGTCTCATATCGTCTCAGGGTGTTAAACTAATCTGACTGAGTCATTTTTAACGCTGAGCAAATGAATGTTTTTCTTCGTTTAAAAAGTAGCGGAATCCAACACTAAGTTTTGAAATAAATCATTAGCTAAAGCTAAACACATAAAAATATTGATCAGAGCTAATGCTAAACCGGTGACCTGGATTTCCCTGCAGTTAGTAGGGAAACATGCATGCAGCACAGTGAAACCAGTCTGTGGCTCCCTGGTTCCAGGTCCTCCTGCCAGCAGCCAGCCTCCTGCAGCTGATGGACGTTCGTCAGGTCTGCTGCGAGTTCCTGCAGTCTCAGCTTCATCCCACCAACTGCCTGGGAATCAGAGCCTTCGCTGACCTGCACACCTGCACGCAGCTGCTCAGTCAGGCCCACGCTTACGCCGGTAAGCCTCTGACTCGGTCACTAGATACCCGGTCAGACCGTGGTACTGATGAGCTCACGGCTAGTGTGCTAGCTACCGTCTGTAACCTGGGCTGTCTCTGTGTCTCAGAGCAGCATTTCTCTGAGGTGGTGCAGAGTGAGGAGTTCCTGGGTCTGTCTCTGCAGCAGGTGTCCAGCCTGATATCCAGCGACCGGCTCACCGTCTCCACTGAGGAAAAGGTTTGCTTACCGGCTCCGCTATGGCCCAGATATATTCTGCCAAGATGTTGAAGAAAACAACGCCATGGTCGTCAAAGAATTTACCCTGAATTTGCCAAAATTTATGCAAAACTTGTATTTTTGTCAAATCATACATAATTAGATCCGTACTGATTTCTTTTTTCAAAATGGCCGCCACAGATGTCACAGAAAATAAATTTTTACTCTAAAATCTCCAATTAGATAAATGTGAATTTGAATCAACGGCTGCTATGATTGCAAACGAGAATATATGTAATCTGATGCTAACCTGGTTATCACAGAACACTAGCAGGTGCTAGTGCTAAACATAAACAACCAGTTTATGTTTAGCTAACAGACAGAAGATGCACGAAAACATTAGCAGTAGCTAATGCTAAATCACTCCCTCTGCTCTGCTCAGGTGTTTGAAGCGATGATATCTTGGATCAAATACGACAAACCGACTCGTCTGGAGTTTATGCCCAAACTGATGGAGCACGTCAGGCTGCCGCTGCTGTCCAGGGATTACCTGGTCCAGGTGAGAACATGAACACAACAACCTGGTCCAGGTGAGAACATGAATAATGGGACATAATGCTCATAATAATAACATAAAGATCAGTTTTCATTTCACTTTGTCTGAATTTATAACATAAAACATGAAATGAAAATTAACGCAAACAAAGACTTCATTAGATTCATTTATTTTAGTTATGCATGACTTTGTTTTCGGTTTTTGCATTAAAATCTATTAAAAATGGCTGCTGGTTTACGGAGACCTCCACTCATAAACAAAATGGCTGCTGGTTTACGGAGACCTCCACTCATAAACAAAATGGTGCTGGTTTACGGCGACCTCCACTCATAAACAAAATGGCTGCTGGTTTACGGAGACCTCCACTCATAAACAAAATGGCTGCTGGTTTACGGAGACCTCCACTCATAAACAAAATGGCTGCTGGTTTACGGAGACCTCCACTCATAAACAAAATGGCTGCTGGTTTTCAGATCGTTGAGGAAGAAGCTCTGATAAAAAACAACAACACCTGTAAGGACTTCCTGATTGAAGCCATGAAGTACCACCTGCTGCCGGCGGACCAGCGCCACCTCATCAAGACGGACCGGACCCGACCCCGGACCCCCGTCAGCATCCCCAAGGTGCAGAACCGGGCCGGGCCGGCGTATTCTCCGCGGGTTCTGCCGGTTCTGAGTGTCGCTCTGTGCAGGTGATGATCGTGGTGGGGGGGGCAGGCCCCCAAGGCCATCCGGAGCGTGGAGTGCTACGACTTCCAGGAGGACCGGTGGTACCAGGTGGCGGACCTCCCCTCCAGACGCTGCCGGGCCGGTCAGTGTTCGGACCAGAACCCGGGACGCTAAGCTAGCATGAGTCCGGTTCTGGTCCGTTATGAATGATGAATAATTGTTCTGATGGGTCCAAATGGGTCAAAGGTTCAATCATCCTTCATTATTCCAGTATGACTGGCAGCTAATTATCCCCCAGCATAATGCTGCCACCACCATGCTGGGCACAGAGACCATTTTAATTCTTAGCTTTTATTGATTTCTGTCTGATTTTATGTTTCTCTTCCTGACTTTCATCTTTTTATCTTTCATTCTTTGTTTCTCGACTTCCTGTTTCTCTCTGAGATATTTTAACCGGTTTCCTTTCATCAGATGGTTGAACCTTTGGATTCTCCCTCATCCTGTGTCTCTGTTCTCATCCTGTGTCTCTGTCCTCATCCTGTGTCTCTGTCCTCATCCTGTATCTCTGTCCTCATCCTGTCCTCATCCTGTGTCTCTGTCCTCATCCTGTGTCTCTGTCCTCATCCTGTGTCTCTGTCCTCATCCTGTCCTCATCCTGTGTCTCCGTCCTCATCCTGTGTCTCTGTCCTCATCCTGTGTCTCCGTTCTCATCCTGTGTCTCTGTCCTCATCCTGTGTCTCCGTCCTCATCCTGTGTCTCCGTCCTCATCCTGTCCTCATCCTGTGTCTCCGTCCTCATCCTGTCCTCATCCTGTGTCTCTGTCCTCATCCTGTGTCTCCGTCCTCATCCTGTGTCTCCGTCCTCATCCTGTCCTCATCCTGTGTCTCTGTCCTCATCCTGTCCTCATCCTGTGTCTCCGTCCTCATCCTGTCCTCATCCTGTGTCTCCGTCCTCATCCTGTGTCTCCGTCCTCATCCTGTGTCTCCGTCCTCATCCTGTGTCTCCGTCCTCATCCTGTGTCTGTCTCCTCCAGGCGTCGTCTCCATGGCGGGCCGGGTTTACGCCGTCGGCGGCTTCAACAGCTCGCTGAGGGAGCGGACTGTGGACGTTTACGACGGCGCCAGGGACCACTGGAGCGCGGCGGCGAGCATGCAGGAGAGGCGCAGCACGCTGGGGGCGGCGGTGCTGGGCGAGCTGCTGTACGCCGTCGGAGGCTTCAACGGGAGCATCGGTACGCCGGACGGATTGTCAGAACCCGATGAGACGCCGCCGATCCGGAGACCGTGTTCCACTGGCTTTTCTGTTGGTTATTTCCAAGATGTTTTAACAAACTTGAAACTGCTGCTGCTTCTTACCAGCAGGCTGTTGCTAGGCAACCATAGAATTATTGAGTCAGTTGATGCTAGCAACTAGCTTAGCTCACATTGACAGGCTGAGCGACTGCCTGTGTTTCCCAGAATGCTGTGCGGTTGGGTGAATATTTTGTCAAACGCGATATCTTGATATTGATCAGGTTTCCATAGTGATAGGAATTATTGCCTTTCTATCCAAACCGAGGATCAATTTAAAGCACAGAAAGTCAAACATTAACCTCCATTTATGGGTTCAAGTGTTAATTTAGCAAACATGATGTGAAGAACAACAGGATCCGGTTCTCCTCTGCAGGTCTGTCCACCGTGGAGGTTTACAGCCCCAAGACCAACGAGTGGAGCTTCGTGGCGTCCATGAACACCCGGCGCAGCAGCGTGGGCGTGGGCGTGGTCGACGGTGAGCGCCGGGAGGGGCGGACACCAAAAGATCACCGCTATACACGGCTAACTGTGTGTGTGTGTGTGTGTGTGTGTGTGTGTGTGTGTGTGTGTGTGTGTGTGTGTGTGTGTGTGTGTGTGTGTGTGTGTGTGTGTGTGTGTGTGTGTGTGTGTGTGTGTGTAGGGAAGCTGTACGCAGTGGGCGGTTATGACGGGGCGTCTCGTCAGTGCCTCAGCACAGTGGAAGAATACGACCCGGTCTGATCAGTGGTGCTACGTGGCCGACATGAGCACACGGAGAAGTGGAGCAGGTACACACACACACACACACACACACACACACACACACACACACACACACACACTCTGGGAGCAGCTTTTACATGAACAGTAGCCAAAATATTAATATTATAATAATAAAGTCAAAATAATATAATATTCGTCATGTTGTGATAACATGAGAAAAAGACGTAATATACTAATAAAATTATTCATTTATCACAAGAAAATTTGTAACATTAGAAAAAAGTCACAATAATTTCAGAATCATGAGAAGTTGTAATAATACAAAAAAATCATAATGTGAGAAAAGTCGTATTATTATGAGAAAAAAGCCTTAATATTAACAGATGTATTAATAATATAGGATAAAGTTGTACAACTATTAAATTGAAGCATAAAGATGCAACAATAAATCTAAATAATGTCAGAACAATATAACTAAAGGAAAGTTGTAATATTAGGAGGATAAAGTATGAATTTTAGGAAAGTTTTGCATCTTGAGAAGAAAAATAAGTAAATCTTCATCTTTATCAGGTCAGATCTGGATGACATCATCCAGGCTTTTCTCTCATTCAAACAAAGTTTTATTGTAATTTTCCATCTTTCTCATATTGTATCCATATTCTACTAACATCATTTAAAAACACCAACATGTCTGTGACGTTATGATAGTTTGTCATAAAAATCTTCTTCTCATCCGGACCATAAAACTGTGTTTCATGTTGAGCAACAGCACCCCCTGCTGGACACCTACTGAAACGGCAACATGCAGAGCCTGTCAACCATTCAGTACTGATGACAAAAGTGAATGGATGAATGGAGCCTGTGATGAACACATGATGTTCCGGCAGGAGTCGGGGTTTCTGGGCGGCCTGCTGTACGCCGCGGGCGGCCATGACGGTCCTCTGGTGAGGAAGAGCGTTGAGGTGTTCGACTCCCAGAGCAACACGTGGCGCCTGGTCAGCGACATGAACATGTGTCGCAGGAACGCAGGTCGGCACATCGCAAATAAATACTCCTCACTTCCTGGTTCCAAGCTGGAAAGTGTGGATTTTAAAATCATACATTTAAATGTTTATTTATAGATGAATATGGAAACATCTGCTGACGTTAGGGTTAAAGCTGTTTTTGCTTCCTGCAGGCGTTTGTGCCATAAACGGGCTGCTGTACGTGATCGGCGGCGACGACGGGTCCTGCAACCTGTCGTCTGTGGAGTTTTATAACCCGATGACGGACAAATGGAGCCTGATTCCCACCAACATGAGCAACGGACGCAGCTACGCCGGTGAGCCGCAGAGCCTGGAGACCAAAAGCCACATTTCATTCAGAAAACTGTTTCAGACCCAAACGACCAGAGATTCTGTTCAAGATACTACACACACACACACACACACACACACACGCACACACGCACGCACACACACACGCACACACGCACGCACACACGCACACACACACACACACACACACACACACACACGCACACGCACGCACACACACACACGCACACACACACACACACACACACACACACACACACACACACACAGACACACACACACAGACTCGTTGCCATAGTAACATTCAGTGGGTTTATGTTTGTTTTTGAAGCTTGATGTTTATTTTGCCATTACTAAGCGAATGGCCTGTTAGATTAGCTACCGTTGCTATTAGCTAAGCTAGCACCGCAGTGGGTGTTTAGCTAATTTGAATGTCTGCTTGACTGATAATCTGTCAGAGTTGATGTGTGGGTCGACTTTTTATTTTTTAGTTTTTTAACTGAAACAAAACACAAAATTCTGAAACACGTCGACATGTTAAGGTTGTCATAGTCAAGCTAGCATAACTGACCTACTTCTTTAATTAAAACTTTTTTTTCGGTACTTGTTATCTCGTTGTCATAGTGTTGACATTTAATAGCAAAGCACTGCATCCCTTTTTGTTTTATATGTCAGCCGTGTGTTCTGCATTTAGTGCTAAAACCAATGCTAGTTGTTGCCCGCTAGCGGTGTTTTTTATTCAGTAACCCAAATAAAATATGAAAAATTATATTGGCTTAACTCAGGGTGTCCAAACGTTTTGCCAAAATCAACAGGTAAAAAATTGTTGCAGGCTAAAAATGTTTTTATTTTAAATATTTATAATAGAAAAATAAAATCAAGAAGTTAAAGAAGTCTGATTTTTGTAGGTTTTTTTTGTGGAAAAAGGACGTTATTTTACAGATTCAAAACTTTAAAGTGGCAGAAATTATAAAGTTTTCAAATTATTTTGATCTGAATGGAACAAATTTAAGAAAGAAATTGAGTCACTTTCTTTGAAAATGTTTGCAATATTTAACAAAGTCTAGGAAATTAAGTAAAAATCTTGGTTATAAAAAGAGAAATAATTTGTGTTCGAGATGTTTTAATTAAGTTCTGTAATTGCATTCGGAGGCCACAAAACGTCACTTCAAGGGCAGAAAATGGCCCCTGCGCCGCACATTGGACACCCCTGGCTTTTTCTTAGATAAAAAAAAAATTAATAATTATTTAAAAACAATGTCTGAGCATTTTGAATCAATTTCAGATTTCCCAGTCAAAGTAAATGCTGAACTAATCGGACCTGTTCTTTTCAGGAGTGGCAGTGATCGACAAGCCGCTATGACCCGGGCATAAACCCAGAACCAGAACTTTATGGTCCACGAAGAGCCTCCATGTTTGGTTCTGATCCGCTTCCTTTGGGGTTCCAGTACAAACGGATGTAAATCCACCAAACCGAGCCGCCGGTTCTGTTGGCTTGATGGTCGGACTCCAGGAGCGGGTTGCAATAATTGCAGTGGTGACACCTGGTGGTGACCAGCAGTATTCCTCCTCGACCCAAACGGCCGAAACCAGAGCGCCGCAACATGAAGAATGTTAAAATTATATGCAACAAAAACAGCAGATTTGGTATTTTTGCGAGTTTTTTTAAAGTTTGGGCTCAGTTTTGGTGTTTTGGTTCTGGACTAAACACTACTGATGTTCTGCACTGAACGCTGCTGCTCATTCTGAAGCTGCCAGCCGCACACATCAGATCAGAGACACTGGAGCTGAAAATGATGCACTGTAAAAATGAGCTGGAAAGACATCATGACTTTATTTATTGACTCATTTGCCACTGCGTTCAGGAACAGGATCCTGAAACAGAACCATGTTTACCGGATCGGATCTTAGTTTATTCTATAAAAGCACATAAAGTTTAAATGTAACCTTCCTGTTTTTATACGTCACGTGATTTTCATTCATCTGGTTGGATTTAATGTTCTGTTATGTTACAGAAAAACTGGGAGTGGTCTTCTTCAGGTGGAAACACCTGCAAGTAGGTAAGACTCTCCACCCCCTGTGGTGGGAAGCAGGAACTGCCTGAGAATCAGAGGAATAATCATGAAGACAAATAACTCTAATATTCAGGCACATCAGAACCAGTTTGATGTTTATTATTATAGAACTTGTAAACATGTTTAAAATGAATCTGTGATCAAACACTAAATGGACTTTGAAGTTTATCATGTGATTGTTTAAAGTGAGCAGATGGACATTTTTCTCACTGCAGTTGCTATATTTTTTTATATAAATGAAGAATATTGTGAAAAAAATGTTGGATTTGGTTCGTTTTTCACAGCAAAAATGTAGAGAAAGACGAACATAACTGCTTTCGGTCAGCTTTTGTTTCCATTTCTGCCAAGGTAAAAATATATTTACTGACATATTTATCTGCATTTAAATGTCTCCGAATTGTACAGTAAAACAATTCAAAGAAACAACAAAAAAGTTTCTAAAAGTACAAAACAGTATTCTTTATTTAATAAAAACATTTGAGCTTGTTTTAGAAAAATAAAGGGCAGCAGCTCAGCTGGTGGGCGTGGCCTTCATCAGGTGTAATTAGCCTAATTAGCTGCTGCTGCTAAAACCTCCAACCGTCACAAACAAGTCCAGGTGAGTTTCGTCGTGTTTATTTTCTCCTAAATCTTATTTTAGTTATCAAAGTGCTAAATTAGCAGCAAACATCAGATTACTTCCTGGTTAATAGTAACATTGTCTCATTTTGCTAATGTTTTAATCTTTAGAAAAAAACTTTCTGCTTTTCCAGTGATCCGTTCAAATGTTGGCGGATTAATCGGAACTTAAAGTTCAGCAGAAGTGAAAAGACAAAACTTTTTTAAATTATTTTTTCAAGCCGGTTTCATGATTAAAGAAGCAGCGGTTTATATCGTCTTCCTGTTTTAAGCTTCTGTTAAAAATCCACTTCCGGTAGAAATCTAACGGCGGACATTAGGACTGAAACGATGAAGTTAAAATGTTCTCTGTATTTATTAGTCATCGATCGTTTTATGTTGAGTGCCCCAAAGTTCAACGCAGCTTTTAATTTTTTAAAACAATAACCGGAAGCTACCGAATTCCTGGGGACCTCCGAATCGTACGTCAACGTGGCGGCCATTTTGTGAGGGGCAGGAAAGAAGAACCGTGAAGGTCTGCACAGGGTTCAGGTCGAGCTGAAAGACGTTCATGTTCCACATTCAGTACAATAAAACAGAAAGAAATGAAATCGTTGCAATATAGTGAATGCCCTTTTGGTATATTCAAACTATTTGTGTATTTAAATGTTTTTTTTGAAGTTTTTTAACCTGCCAGAAATGGAAAAAGACTTTTCAATTGTTTTTAGATCAGAACTTTTCTAACCGTTAATTTATACAATATTTTTAAACTTGCCCGTTTCTGACAGTATTTTAACCGAAAATCTCCCAGGTTTTCTCAACTATTTACAAAACAGTTAAATCATAAAAATATGACTGGTCCACATTTGTAGAACCTCTCAACAATATGTTATGTTGCAGAACTCTAAGGAAAATTTGAAAGATAATTTTGTAAATATTTCCATCTGCAGTACTTCGTTTCTCCACCAGGGGGCAATAACACTAGTATAAAATGTCACAAAGAAAGCAGCAAGCTAGTACATTTAACATAAATTAAACCTTTATTGATATGAAAAAATGTGAGAGCTAAACAAAAGTAAAGTATTGGATATTAACAGCTGACTAAATGTGTACCTTTGCAGGGAAACAGTTGCTGTGGATTCCTGGAGAAACCGGAGAGTGTGAAGCAGCGTGGGAGTTTCTCCACTCTGACTGGTGAGGAAGAAACATTTGAGACCAGAATTTTACCAGATGAGTCAAAAACATTTTAATGTTGGAAAATATTGACACATGGAGCTGAAACGTGTTAAAATATGTCTGATGCAAACTTTTATTATTGCTGCTTCTTCATGGCACAAATAATGAGACGAGTTGGTGTTGGATAAGATCTGTGCTGCCATGCAAGCGACTACAGTACTGCTATATTAGCTTATATTACACAGAGCGACGACATGTTGGGGTTACATACAAAAGGTTAATGTCGGAACATTAGCAGTATGGATAATAAAAAACATCACACATAAAATAAACCTAAAGGGGCCAACTGTGAAATAATTTAAACATGTCTGACATTCATTTTCTTCTGGTTTTATGTACAGTATATTGATATTTGTATAGAAGTAGTGCTTAATTTCTAGAAATACAAATGGAAACAACAGAGGGGCTGCATTCTGGGAATGCTGTGCAAATAACATTTTTTACATCTGACCCTTCCTGCCCCTCCCAGCACTCTGCGCCACGACAAACTGAAACTGGGAGAAGATCCTCCAGCCTCCTGCGTGTCGTTCGACCTGCCAGCAGGAAGTCGCTCCCCTCCCGCTACGCCGGCAGTGTGATGAAACAAACCCAACAGAACACGAACAAACAGGAAGATTTCCCAAAGTTTCTCTGCAAACCATAAAATAACGTCTGAAAATGTATTTTTTTCCCTCAACATGTGAAGTGTTGTTGATGAAGGGTTCATGGCGGCGTCCTGCAGGTGGCGCCGTGTGCGATGACAGCGGTTATCCGACAGAAACCTAGATGGACTTGGAGGAGTCCTGTTTGCTGATGAGGACCTCCAGGAGGCGGAGCTTGGCCTTGATCCGCTTGTACTCGCGGTACTTCTCCAGCATCGGCACCCGGTCCTCCTTCTGAACGTTCCTGCAGGACGGAGGAAAACAAGATGGCGGCGCTCAGCGCTTCCTGACGGTGCGGGCGACAAACGGACGCGTCGCTTCACTTACCTCCCGTTATGCTGGTAGAAATCTTCCTCGAACTCTCGGATCGTCTTTCTCAGTTTCTTCTTCTCTGATCTGGCCTTCCACAGCTGTTCCAGCAGCTCTGGCCTGGAGGATCATGGGAAATGGAGTCAGCAGGTGGGAAACCAGCAGTTTCTAAGTCATTCAGGCTATTTTAGTGTTTGAAAAGTTTTTCTCATTGTAACTTAAAGAATATTTTTCTACATATTTGTTGAAAAAGCTTAGCTCCTTGCTGCACTGCAGCTAGCATAGCAGGCGGCTAACGCTGAGGCTAGTTAACGGACAGCACCAAGCCCCGCCTCCTGGCTCTGATTGGCTGGAGGAGAGCAACCTGGGCAGCGGTCCTTACATGGACGAGGCGTTGGAGCTGGACAGGCGCAGGTCCAGCGCCAGCCTCCCGGATCCTTCCTCCATCTTGTCGCTCAGCCCGTCCGGTTGGCTCCTGACCGACCCGCCGCTCTGGGTCACGGCGTCCAAGGCCATGATGACCTCGGAGCTCTGCATCTCTCCTCCGCTGCTCTCGGCCTCCTCCTCCTCGTCGTCCTCCTCTTCCTCCCTTTCCTCTTTTTCCTCTTCCTCGCCGCCTTTCTGCTCCTCCTCTTCCTCCTCTTTGATTTCCCAGAAGTGAGCGGTTTCTCCCTCGATGATTGGCTGAAGGGTCTGGCTCCGCCTCTTGCTGGAGGGCGACACCTGGAGCGGGGGACGGGCGTTAGCGGCGGCGCGCAGACGGGCGGCGGCGGCGGTCAGAGGCGGCCTTACCGTTACCGGGGTGATGCTGACCCTCGCCAGCATCTGCTTGACCAGCCTGTAGCGGTCATAGAGAGGCTTCACCACCAGCCGCTCCTCTCTGGTCACCTGATCACAGAAACATGGCGTCATGCAGCCGCTGCAGCCGGCGGCGGCGCGGCGGCGCGGCGGCAGGACGGACTTACAGGTCGGCCGTGGAGGCCTTCGTAGTGCAGCAGGTTCTTCTGAAGGACCATCTTCTCACAGGACAGCTGCTCTTTGGTCATCTTCTGCAGAAACACTCATTATTCATCGACATTCTGTGAACTTATGGCGCCTCTGCTGTGAACTAAATCTTATTTTAACAGAATAAACTGACCTTTTTTCTCACTGAATGTTAATTTGCAAACGATGCATCATTTTTTTGAAGCACCGCCACCTTGTGATGTGACTCGGTACTACAACTCAACTTATTTCATAAACTTTCTGCCTTTTTACCGTTAAATGAAGAAAACAAAGAGCTTCCGCCTGGTTTCACTTCCTGCTCACATGTTCATATATAATAATGAAAAGTCGAGCTGCTTACCTTGATGTCGTCCGGCCAGCCGTCCTCCTGCCTCTTGCCTTTGACGCGGCGCTGGATCAGCTCCAGTGTTTCCTCTTTGGTGGGGCGCGGGCCCCGGACCTCCCCCGCCGCGTCGGGGCCGCCCTGCTCCAGCGTGGAGCCGAAGCTCTTGGGGAGGGTGTTGCTCCGGGGACGGGTCTGCGGGCCGAGCTCGCTCTCCGCACAGTGTTTGGCGTCTGCAGGACGAGAACACACGAAGAGGAGGAGTCAGGATCCACATCGGAACCGATTCTGGACCGACTGACAGAACCCGACGTTACGCTAAACATCATGAACGCTTAATGTAAACAATCTGAAAAGTGTGGAGAGAGATCAGATCTGCAGCAGCGTTTATTTGGAGAAAATTCTGCAGATTTTTTATTTAAACACTTCAGTTCATTTTTATGAAAAACACAAAATGATGTAAAAATAATCACTTTTATTCGTAGAGCTGATCGGAAGATTATTAATAATTGCAGTAAAAGCTGAGTCTTTTTTTGCCCAGAATCTGAATGTGGGTGAAGCTAACGCTACCGCTAAAGGCGTTTATGCTAAAACAGATTTACAAAGTTTTATTCAATGCAAAAATGTTTAATTTTCTTTGTAGTTTTGGCTTAATTACTAATCCAATCTGTTCTTCTTTCAGCAAATGGACGACTAATTCAGCTGAAAGTTGTTTTTGATGCTTCAGAAGGAAGCAGATCCTTGTGGCCTAGTTAAAGTCCAGCTGTTGAACTGCAGATAAACTCAGAGGAAGTTCCACACAGTTCTGACTCTCAGTGGCGTGAT